AAACAAAAAAACTGAAAATGAAATTCTCGCACTGAACTCACGAGCGATCGCTTCAATTTTGCAAACGCACGCTCATTTCTAACCTTTTTTTGTTATTGTTTTTATAATTTTTTTCTCCTTTAAAATTGAGGCATGAGATTCAAGGTAAATTCATTGGATGACTCGTGAATTCCGCGTTGAATTCACTCGCAAAGCCGATATCGCACTCATCGCTTCGCGATTCGGCGTGCGATATCGGCTTTACTCGTGAATTCAACGCGGAATTCACTCGTCACCCAATGAATTTACCTATAATATCCCCTATATTTGTCGTCAAAACATAATATTTTCATAATTTCTTCGAAATTCAGTTGAATATTGATTGAATGATGCATGCTGTAATTGCAGCTCATCAGTTTTAGTTTAATCTACTTTGATCATTTTAAAAAGGCTGCCATTAGCTCAATAAGCCATATCATTGGTGACATCATTTCTTTCTGTTTACTGGCAAGCTAGCTAAGTTTTTCTCAAACAAATGCAGCATAAATAATTATAACATACTCTATGTACGAGGTTCGAATTAGACAAGCTCGCAGCACACACTCCTAGGGCTAGGATTTTCCTATCTTTGTTTAAGGTGGAGGACGTGGGTAACGGAAAAGCAAGCAGCTTTCATATCAACCAAAATAAAATACAGAATTTGCATTCACTCATTTTGTTTATAAGGAAGCGAAAGCCCTAATAAACCAAATATGCCTGGATTGTGCAAATCATCATATTTTTCACTTCTTGGAAGAGCAGGAAGTTGATCACGCCAGAGTGACGTTTCTTACTGAACAAAGACAATAGACGATTGTGCAGAACAAAGGGTGACGTCTTGTTTGATATTGCAAATTGTCACGTCATAGAGTTTGTTGTAGGAGTTCGAGGAACGACAGGAACTGTTCAAAATTCACATCGTCTTTATAYTGCCTCGTTTCATTCCGAATTTGTCATGGCGATTAATGAAACTGAGGATCCAAACTTTGGACAAGAGACAAATGACAACTTTAAATTATACATGTTTGAAGACGAAGTTGATGAGATTAAGCGCTTTATTCAAGAGTCAAACGACCCTCAAGGSTGTTTGCTAGGGCTTTGGACAAGCAGTCGTAATCCAGTTGTCCATATTGTTCAACTAAAAGATACTGTTAGTGAAAGATATCTTTTCCTAAAGAATGACCGATCCACATTGCCAAAATATGAGAATGCTGATAAGATTTTTACACGAATAGGACATTGGTATTTCAGCCAAACTGATCAAATTGGTTGTACAAGTCAAGAGACAARAGATCGGGACCAAGGATTTGTCTAYCTCAAAGTGACAAAGACAGCCGAGGGCGATTTGRACTTTCTTCCTCAACGCTTCTGCAAAGGAGAAATGTTCATTGGAAGCAAAGAAATACTTGCGGGACGAAATCCATTCAAACTATCAAAGCATGAAGGGCAGCGGGAAGACGAAGAAAGCTCAGATAACGAAAATATTGGAATAGTAGCGTGGAGGGTGGGACATTTTGAAGMCCTGMRCAAGACTTCTTCAGGTGATTGTGAGAGTCAGTTGAGATGGTATGAACGTGATGATGGTCTCATGTCCCTGCGACAAATACATRGCTTACTGGAGGAGACAACCCAATCTGTCGAAATTAAAAGAGACATACAAAGTCTAAGTCTGTTACTTCTATTTAGGCTTGACTCAAAACAATTCAGGCTTGACTTTCCATCAAAGTTTCCTGAAAGTGRCGCTATACTATACCAGGAAATAGAAAGAAATGATCCACAATGTATGTGCAATATAAAATTCAACAAACCACAGGAATTTGTACATGAGGTCATTAATGCGTGCATGTATAGACTTTCATAGACCAGTATTGTATACCAAACTTTATTACACTTTAACCTCTCAGAACCTCTCAGTCGCACATTTTCAAATAATGATGTGTGAAATAGAATGAAAATAGCTGTGCTTGTAATAAAAAAGTAACAACTGATTTATAATTTTAGATACAGTTAAATCCCTTGCTCCCCGGCTTTATACTTTCTGATAGATCTATTGTTTGTATTTGCCAGTTTTTCACTTTCGTTTTCGTTCTTTTTTGTAGTTTTTATTGTTCTTTTCTATCTCTGATGTGGTCAGTATGTTGTACAAATCCCTTTCTATAATCAATGTGTCCGGTATGAGGGTGATTTATTCGTAAATATACATAAGGAAAATTGTGAAAAATCTAACATTTCGTCTAGTCCGACTAATCTGCATCTGTTTACGTTTTTGAGCAATACGCAAATCAACAACTTAGAATACTAAAACTCCGCATCACAAAAATAACCAAATTCTCCGATCCGAAAACCCCCTTGATCAGCTTCGGGTTTTCAGTTGACATGTCTGCTTAATTGCAAATTTAGATTGGCTCAAGAACCTTCAGTCTGATCTGATCTCATCTTATTGTCCATCATTAGACGTCACGCCGAGTTGGTTGATTTCCTGCTTTTCCGAGAAGTGACAAATATGCTGATTTGCACAATACTGACGCTTGCATTTCTTAAGCAGGAAAATACATACGTTTGTGAATTTTCATTTTATTTATAACTGTCAGAATGCCTTGGTCTGTAAGCCAGCGAAAGAGGTTAGACGTGGTTGAAAAAGGAATTCTTGAGTCGTACTTTGGAGACAAGATAACCTGGAATGATCCACAAGGAAAAACTACAGTMGAATTGAAAATTAGTACAAACAGCGACAATCATTATACACTGAGGATATACCTGCCATCAGACTACCCAAACTCATGCCCAGAACTAACTGTGGCATCTCCAAAAGAACTAAAAAGAAAAGATGGAACCCCAATGAACGGATTTGCATCTGATGCAGATCACACCTACGGAACCAAAGATGGACTTATCAAGATATGCCACTTTCATCAAGGAAAATGGACAAATGAATACACATTGTATCAAGTGTTTATGAAAGGACTTCTTTGGCTAGAAGCGTACGAATCTCACAGACAAACTGGGAAACCAATAAGCACTTATTTGAGAGAAATATGACATTAAATTTATTGTTACAATTTCATTTTATTAGTTTTTTCAAACGGTGGAATCAAGTTAAGTGAAGTGCATTGAGCAAATTTTCCACCATACATATATGAGGCTATGTACATCGTTGTTACATTATGTCATTACTGAGGCCGTAAACGAAAAGTTAAATCTATACGATTTTGTCATAATGTTAAGATATCTAAAGATTTGGTAATAAGCAAGGAACGTCAATAAATTCATTTGATTGTATTTATAATCCTGAATTGAGGGCTCCCTTTTAAATGAAATTAGGGCAAGATATCGTTACGAATAAGGAACACTAATAGTTCTAAACTTTTAATGTTTCCACTCTAACAATAAATATTCAAGAATGTATATACTTGCGTGCTTCAAATCAACCACGGATATGCATTATGTATCAGTCAAAAAAAGTAGTTTTACAATTTATGTAAATATGCGATGTTTTTTTAGTGGGGTAATCCCCAGATTCCATAAAAAATGATCCTGGTTCCAAGAATAAAAGGAAGCTACTGCGCATGTGAATTCGTTTTCTGGGAAGCAGGTCGTTTCGAAGCTTTGTTTACATCATCTTGGTAATTGTCAGGTAGCAAAATGGAATCAAGGTTTCAGCGTTGTTATAAATCTTTCACTCTAACCTTGTTTGAAGAGGATTTTATCAATATCGGTAAGCTGGTCAGTAAATTCCCAAATCAAGAGACTGGTGGAAACCTATTTGGTCTATGGACAAACCAAGGGAACGCTGTTGTCTTGGTTGCTACGGGGCCAGGCGAGAACTGTACTCGAAGCCCTGCATCGTTCTTCCAGGATATAAATTACATGGCTCGAATAGGAAACTTATTGACAAGCACATATCCCTTGTGTCATATAGGTGAATGGCATTCTCACCACAGACTATCATTGCTAAAACCAAGCGAAGGAGACTGTAACACCATAAGACGAAATTATCCACGAGGATCCCAAGGCTTTATACTCATCATTGCAAATATCATCCAGGGCGGGCAAGTCAAGCTATCGCCATATAAATTTACTGACGAAGTATCAGCATACCAAGTGGGAGAAGTTGAAAGTTTGCCTATAAAGAATCCTTTCAACGATGTGGGTATAATAAGGTCAGCTATAAATAAAGGTAAAGAGCTTATACCAAAACAACCAAGAGAGATTTCTTATCTGGAAGAACACGATAGGACTATACGAAGTCGCCAAAGAAGAAATGATTTCGATACCAAAAGTCGACTCCGTAGTCGTTCACGATCACCACAAAAGATTCCCCAGAGATACCATCCAGAGAGAACAACACAAAGAGATCATCAGAGATCAACCAGCCAAAGCCACATTCCTCAGCCTCCTCTCTATCCAAGAGATCCGACTAATATAATAATTTCTCGAGCCTCTGGAATCCAGGGGAAAACTTATCCAAGAACAAGAAGGAATGAGGATCATCGAGCTACAGAAAGCAGCACCGTACCATTCAACAGAACAACCGTCCACGCTTTGACAGCTCTAACAGAGGCGAACAATCATTTGACTTCTATTCAAAAGCCTTGGTATGACCGGCAAGAAATGTTGCGAGAAACGTTGTCCTTTATAAAGGACCGTGCAGATGATAGAGAAGTTACAATCAAAAGGGACAAGAATACAATGGAAGTGTCCTTTGAATTCAAACATAACCACTACAAATGGATAGCAAGTTTTCCAAATGGTTTTCCACACAGTGGAATTGTTACACTTAAAAAGGATACTTCCACTCATCCATGTGTAACTAGGATTTGCTTGCGCGGAGGTTTTAATGACTTTCAAAATGATTTTCGACTAAAGTGCAGTTGTAGTGCTTGCTTATGAGTTAAATTAGATCAGATAAGCATAGTTTAGCTTGCGCCCATATTGTCCACAACTTTAGACTAATATAGACTTTTGGTTAAAGAATTTTGTTATGAAGCGTACTGGAAAGGGATAAGAAAGGAAGAAGAGCTTGCTACCGATACACAAAGTATTGAGTAAAGTGACACATTGGTGTCCAACAGGCTATTTTATTCCTTTTTCGCGGGTATATAATACTTGCTAAATGTATTTAATAGACAAAATATACTCACTCAGCAAACTCGGCACCATGGGTAAAGTAAATATACTATCATGTTTCTATCATGTTCCCCAGGTAACTATTAGTTTTCCAATATTGGCGTTCATTAAGGCTCATTATCAAACCATATAGATACACTCTTTTATTGACATGTAAAATACGCATTTTGTAATAATGTAATTATGCAAAGTTGAACAAAATACACACCATAAAAAGATCAACACTAACCGACAGTCGATTTCACACTAACCATTTCACTTGTTTGACTTAACAGCTCATATTTGTAATGTGTCAGTATGCGAACGTATTGTCAGGATCTTACATTGGTAATGTCTACATCATAAATTTGAACTCAACTTCAGAATTTCTTTGTACGCAGGCATGAACTAAGCTTGTTCAATGCATGTAATCATATATGAGATGAATTCATGTCGGATTCCAATTGTTTTTCTAGGTAACAATACCGTTRCATTCAACACGTAACGCAATATCACTCTCTGGGATTCCCGGAAATTGTGAACTAATTAAATTCTTAGCTACGTTTGTTATGTTTCTAGTCTTGTCCCAATGGTTTTGAAATTCAGGTGATGCAAAGAGATGGCGACGACCATAACAATTCACCATGGCGAGATTTTACTGATACAAAGAATGATCCAAAATACTAAAGACGCGMGAAAGCTTCGAGGTGCTTTATATGGACTTTATACACAATCAGGTCAGCCGGTAGTTCAGTTGATATGTGGAAGCAAGGAGAAGAAGAATTTGTCAAAATGTCAGAAGTACCTCGAGAGCGAGCATGGACTTCTTCTGTTAGGAAGGTGGACTATTGCAGCGAGCGATGCAGATGGTAAGATTTTTCTCGTATCAGCATATTACAACATGAAATCACTAAGGAATCTTAACAAACATTTTAGGTTAGTTTTGACCACCATTTCCTTTCCTTTCGAWAGCATGTAATCATACTACAACTACTTAGTTATGATCGATGATATTGATGTATACATAGAGCTACAGATCTAGAACTGACTTGATTTTATACATTTCAGCTATGCTCATATATGTGGCTTTCTATCTTTTTATTAAGTATCGTCCAAGGATGTTGGAATCAATTTGGTGTTTGATTTCAAAGGGGAGTTGTACACTGCATTTGATGCCTATTGCAATGGAGCTAATCTTGGTATGTAATATCTGTTTGTGTTTCCAGTGGCAAACATTTTAACGTTGTGTTAACATTAATTTCTAAAAGAAATCCTTCAAGGTAATGGAGCGTTGAGATTGTACGAGCCGTTGACTCAAGAACTTGGGAAGTTACTCAAAACGGACAATTCACCAATTTTTCCTGATATTAGAGTGATTCCAAATAACGTCAAGAAATCGACGGAGAAAGACAGTGAGAATGTAATAGACTGTGAGACTGCATCAACAAACAGTTTTCTAAATAAGCAATCAAACTATACCAGGACGAATACTGATAATAATGAGAGGATAGTTACTAGTAAAAAACAACATGAAAGGAGCCGTTCAAAGCAAAAAGAAACTTACGTATGAACATTTCTATTTTATCATRAAAGTTTTTGGTCGGCTGCACCTAAAGCAGTAATGATATTATTTGCACCGGAATTATGAAGTAGTGTCATGTATTGGGGTAAGTCCCCGCGTCTTTCTAACTGAATGGTGTAAATCTAACCATGTTTATTTCTCCGAGTCATGTCTATCAGCTCTGGAAAGTGAACACCGTAATATTGTCAATAAAATAATCATAAGCTATGCTGATTTTTTCTCATGATTTATGGCTATGTGTGGTGTCTATTGCATAAATTAGTTTGACTGCATCATTCTGCTGCTTTGAAGACGAATCATAACTGTCGTTAAATGAAAAGAGAATATGGAAGGTGATTTTCAATGAAGAGTAAAGAATATTAGAAAGATCATCAAAGTTTTTCCCTATAAAATCCTTTTTCTATCAATTTCTAGCGAAATTGCACATTTTGAACATAAATGTTTTTGAACTTATTCAATGACGACCATGCTACGAAAATATTCTAACTAGTCATGATTGTACGTGTTCCAACGGATGAGGAATCAARCAACAGGAGACCCTAGCAAGATGACCCTTTATAAACTTCTAGTATAGGCAATATGGGAKATTTCTTCAGTTGKTTTTGYCCGRGTTAGGTAATTGTGCTTATGAAGCACTTTCACTTCCCTTAGTGGTCATGACGGCTATAAATAGCATTTCTGAGAAGAGCRGATTAATAGGAAGTACGCTTCGGGGAACCACTGTCAAACTGTGCGATTCCAAGAACTCTCAGCCGTCTGAAAAGAATATTTGATTYAAACTWACAATTAACTACAAACACCAACYTACAGCATCGCAACATTACTYTTCWCTGTGGACATATCTTYACCGACATAACGATGAATCCGGTAATCAVAATACACCGTGGTGAAATTCTACAAATCCATAACATGATAACGAAACTCAAACAAGCAAGGGGTAATCTTCATGGATTATTTTCTGAATCCAAGCAGCCTGTCGTTCTGATCGCATTTGGAGGAGAAGAGAGTAAAAGAAAATGCTGCAAGGAAAAATTAGCGAAGACGCATGGATTAAGGAAACTTGGCGAGTGGTTTGTGGAAAACCCTACTCAAAGGGAAGGTAGGYTTTGCTTGYATWAAGATGTTGCTCAYATRTAGATCATTTCGGTGCTCGMAGAGKATMTCTGATGACGACAATTATTTCAGAAAAAGATTGCAGGGAAAAGCGCATCTTGAAGTAAATACATTGTAAAATACATGCAGACATCCTTAGTCCTTATCTAATCATACTGTCCTAAAAACTGACTTCCCCGTCTGAATTATACTATGAGTTACTAATTCCGATTAGCTTTGATTTCAGGTCATTCAAGTGAGGTTTCTTTAGTCTTCAATAAAAACGGGCACCTTGTTGGTCAATCTGTTTACGACATTTCAGCAATTTGCGGTAAGAGCAATAAGATGTCTTTAATTATATGTTTGTTAATGATATACGTTTTTGGTGGAATGTGTAGGTTTTCAGTGTTTTATGCACATTCACGGCTCATGCAGTTTTGAAAATATTTTAAAGCTGTTACAAGAGCTGAATAGAGTCAGTTCTTAGCTTTGCTCTTTTTTTGGGGGGACGTTCTTGTTCCTGTTTTTCGTACGTTGGTTTTAAAGGTCATTAACCAAGAACATTAGAGTTTCAGCTGCCATTCTTATTTGTATATTGCATAAGCATTCCTCAGCGATACGCATAGGACAAGAAAGTAACAATAATGACAAAGTAACAATAATGACAAAGGACATTATAAGTCTGAATTTTCTTTCTAGATACTGATTGTATTTTTTTATGTTTCAGACATCATTGATGGTCAAAGTGCTTTCCGTTTAGATCCTACTGTG